CCCCCCCCCCCCCCCCCCCCCCCCCCCCGCGCGCCGCGCGCCTTCAGGATCTCCATGTCTTGCGAGGCCTCCTGCAGAAGCGATTGTCGGTGCTGACGAAGCTGGAGAGGGCGGAGCTGCAGCGGCGGGCCTCCAAGGAGGGTCGGGAGCCCAAGGTGTGGACGGGCGCCTGCTGCTGTCTGGGGCAGAGGGTGGACGCGGTGACCTACCTTACCGAGGAGCTGAGCTACTACAACACCGAGGTACGGCAGGCGGGCACGCGGCTCTGGCACACGATGCGAGGAGAATCGGGGGAGGGGGGGGGACGCATAACCGCTGCCTTCTGCGTTTGGGGGAGGTTGTATTTTTTGGGGCGTGGTATTGCGGAGTGCGGGTGTGTGCGTGTTTGCTTAATTGAGCATCGACGGCGCTAACCGGCTGCCCAGTGAAAATGAGGATACGTCAGTCTTGTAGCGGGATAAGCGTGTGCGTATGTGTGTGTGTTGTTCGTTTGGTTCTGTATACGTTGGCCACGGGAACCGGCTGATGGTCCCATGAAACAACGTCGGTTGTAACGTGACGAGAAGATGGTGCCGGGGTACCGCTTTCTGGTCCGCGGGGCCTCCCGACACCGGGGTGTCGTGTAAGACACTGCCGTACGAGTTGTTATTCTTCGTCTCGCCATCGTGTAGCTTTTCTATGCGCTCGGTGGTCGTGTCGAACACGATGCGCCCATACAGCAGTAACTTGGTGATTCGGGGTCTTTGAGCGCTGTTGTCGCGTTCTGGGGCCTTGCCTGCTGACCGTTGGCATGTGCAGGTAGTCTAAATACGGAGTAAAAGGTAAACGATACCAGGACTCTGACAACAACCTGCTAGGAAGAGGTGGGTGGTAATTTGTTGACATTGCAGCGGTGTACGTGCCTTGGTCGGAGAGAGGATTGGTGACGTACACTCCTGTGGTCCTTGTCATCCTCCTATTCATCAGCAGCAGTAACGGGTTCCGATTTTGGATTTTCGTTGTGAGAAATAGGCATGGGCACCGATAGTTACCGACCCCCCCGCCCCCCCTGTACTGCTGTACTCGGCGCGTGGGCGTTTTGATGCCGGCCTTCTTTGTGCTGATAGGTCAGCCGCGAACAGGCGAAGCGTCTGCACCATCTTCGGAAGATCGACCAGCGCGCGCTGCGGATGGCTGCTCAGGGCACGCTGCAGCAGGCGATCCAGGCGATCATGGCGGTAGGTCATGCTCTCTACTGTGTTTCTGTCTGTGCGTGCGTGCGAGCGAATTTTTTTTGCCGGCAACCACCACGCTAGTATCGGCCTTCCAATTAACGGATGTTTCTCTCAAACCCGGGCTAGAACCCCAATAAGATTTGATTTCCGCGGGGCCCCTCGATACGGCTCTGAGCGTGTGTTGTGTGCTTTTTGCAATGCTGCCGTGTAAGTCGTCATTTCCACTCGGTAGACGTTGAATATTGGTTTCCCGTTGAGTTTGTGTTGTAACCCACCATTCTCGCTGGTTGCTCTCCTTGCAACTGCAATTGCCTATCCCCTACCGCAACCCCCCCCCTACCGCAAACAACAGTAGATACATGCTAAATAGCACACACGCGCCCCCTTATTGTATCCGCATCTTAAAAAACAACAGCAAGGTGGAGGACAAATTCTGGACGATGAGGAGACCGGGTTGGTTGAGCAGCTTCTCCGGAGATCTTCCGGTGCGCGAGGCTCGTCCGAAGATCTCGAGGAGGACGAAGAGGAGGGGATGATCGGAAGACCGGGATTCGTTGGCTCTGGCCATGGCGGCGGGGGCGGTGCTCGAGGCCGCGGCGGCGGCGGGGGCGGCGGCGGCGGGAGGCTTGACAGGGAAGGCGTCCCTAGGTTAGGGAGCGACCACGGGGGTTCGCTTCCATACTCAAGGTATGGAGTATCTGTTCTCTTGTGACTTTCTTTGGGAGGGGAAAGAGGGGAAGAATGGGGGGCAGTGCGTTTGCGTGGGTCACTGCGCCGCTACCAACGACAACAACAGCAACAACAACAACAACAACAACCAACAACAACCGTTTGTCAGGCGGAGGACGGGGTCCAAGACGCTGTTCGAGCAGCACCAGTCTCTGTACAGTGGCACCGGCGACGATAGCGATACGGAAGGAACCACCAACCTTGGCTACGGCGACGATAGGGGGAACGCAGGGGGTAGGGGCCTAAGCGCGCTGCTCTCCTCGGCGTTCGATGGCAGCAGTGCCCATAGCGGAGGCGCCGAGTCTAGACCGCTGCTCGGGAGCTCGCAGTCGTCCATCAGGGTCCGGGTGAGAGTTGGTTGATGCGGAGAGGTTGGCGGAATATTCCTCTGTAACTATCTGGCCGCTGGGCGTCGTTTTTGTTTTTGGTGTTTTGCGGAGCGAGACGAGTCTGCTGCCTGGCGCTGGCGACGCTAACGCCGACTGGAGAGTTGCGGATATTGTAATTTCTGACTCGTACTATCGTAATAGTGTAGCCAACAAGTTCGTAACAAGGGGTCTGTCCCGCTCTCCGTTTTTTTTCTTGTTTTTCTTCTAAAATAGTACCTCTATAATACAACAAATCAATCTCTTCTATTTTTTTGTCGTCGGAACCGTACCGTGCAGAAAATTAACTTCCCGGAGATGACTCCTCGAGCCTTCGTGACCTTCAAGACTTTCTCAGCCGCCACCGTCGCGCGCCAGGTGCGTGTGTCTACGACGGCCTCGTAGAATCTACTCTGCTGTCGTCTGTTGGGGCATGCAGCTTCCTTTGTATGTACGATATTCTTCGTGTTTGCTTTTCATTTTGTTTAAAATACATCGCGCTTCGTGAATGTTGTAGTAGTAGTTCCTACGTTTGTCAAGCTTCTTTTTTTTTGTCGTCAGGCTTGTACTCTCTCTCTCTCTCCGATACCCGACATCGTGCGTACGACAACCAACACCGACGAAAACCGAAAATAACTCGCAAGAACGCTCCCGGAACCAAACAACAAACAAAGGTGTTGCACGGTGCGGCCCCCGGTCGCATGGCGGCGGAGGAGTCACCCGAGGCTCGAGACATCTACTGGTTCAACACTCGCGTCACGCAGAACCAGCGGAACCGGCGCCGGATCCTGGTGGAGGTGTTCTTGGGGGTGCTGTACGTGTTCTACGTGGTCCCGGTGACGCTGCTGTACCTCTTGCTGTCGGAGGACTCGGTCACGTCCTACGCTGATTGGGTGGCGGAGTTGTACGACAACGTGAGTGCTTTTGCGCTGATTCGTTGGCAGCAGTTGTGCGGTAACGTGGAGTGTTGTACGCTGGTTGGGTGGCAGAAGTTGGACGATATCGTGAGGCGCTCGCTGGTTGGGTACCAGAAGCTGTTGGACTATTTTGAGTAGTCGTTGTCGTGTGGTGGTTGTTGTTGTTGTTGTTGTTGGCGAAGGTGCTTGTACAACACAGCTTGATGTGTTTCGGTGCACGGTGGTGTTGCTATCGTCATTTCTGGCTCTGGCGGCCGCCTTTGCCGTGTGGTTGTTTTTGCTGCTGCTGTGCTAGTGCCTCTGCTTTTGTTGCAGCCAAGTAGTGCCTCTGATGTGTAACGGCTTTACCTTAAACTGAACCTTTATCTGATCAGATGAGAGCAACGTTTTCGTTTCCACGTCTGTCACCGCCGTTGGGGTTACCGACACCAATCGTGGAAAGCCCCTTTTTCACGCTTCCCCTCCCTGTGGTTGCGGCTGCTGCTCCGCCTCTCTCCTCCTCTGTCCGCGATACTGGTGGTGCTTCTTTGTGCACAAATGGCAGAACACGATCTTCGCCGCCTTAGTGCAGCTCCTGCAGCCCGTTGCTCTGCTGGTGCTGATGAACACGCTGCCCCCTCTGATCCGGCTGCTGGGGATGGCCGAGGGATTCCCGGCGGAGTCGAGAAACCAGCAGGCTGTATTGAGCCGCTACTTTTATTTCCAGGTCGGTCTCTCTCTCTCCTTCTCTCTCTCACTCCCTCTTCTCTCTCTCTCTCTCTCTCTCTCTCTCTCTCTCTCTC